TCGGCGTAAAAAAGTGGTAAAGAAGGACTTCAGATTCTGGAATACGATTGTTGAGCGCATATTCAACTCGTAACACCTTCAAAGCACATAACAATCCCCTCCTGTTGGCAGTCATCGTCCCGCATTGATAGTGCGGCAGGAGGAGATGAGCTAGTGAGCCAGTTAATAACGCAGGCCTACGATGACCACTAAGTGCAATTCTAACAGGATTAATGAGGATGATAGGGCAAAGTGAGAAATTACTACAAAAATGTATCAACGTCTTTCTGCCGCATTTAAAACCGCTACTTGTGCACTTCATATTACATCGGAATCATGTACAGTGTGTCGTTGTTTTCAGCACACAATTGTATTTCTTCCGACGATTAAGCACTCAGCATGCCGAATTCACTGAACCATTATGTACTTCATTGCTACAAAGGTATTGTAGCCAGTAAATTGTTATCCTCTCTAGGCTCTACACAAGTGTATGCTGCAAACATAGGCGTCGGGCAAATATACATCTACCTCTATTCTCTCTTCAACATGATCAACTGGTCTCAAATAGTGCTATTTTTATCCAGTGCGATTGCTTTCATGAGGGAAGTGAGGAACCGTACCCAATCGAGATGCATTTATTTGGTAAGAGAATATATTAAGTGGGCCGAATACACACGTCCAAGGAGGAGATAGAAAGTATGGACTTAGCCCTGTCCCGAAGGCTACCTTACGCAAAAAAATGTAAGACAACCTCACTTGCGACAGCCAACTCCTACAAGTGGTTACTCACTCAAATAGCTACAGAAGCTTCTCTAAAACCAAAGCCCCATACAGTCAGTGATTGTCCCATCCCCCCTGTGACAGAAATATATCCTGCTAGGCGGAGCATTGACTGCATTTGCTGTTACTTACACCTTTACAGCCTAATGAATGATTGCACTTGGAAGCACTAAGGGGAATTGCAAAACATGAGACTTGCAGGTGGTTCAAAGTGGTGTTGTTTCAGTTTTTAACAGCTTCTCTGGGGATCACGGAGGCAATCATAGTTATCATTCTCAACCTTTGTGAGGAAATGGACTTTCTCTGCACCCCAAAAACACGTTACAAACGGTGTTACTAAGATAAAGGTTGTTGCAAAATTCGCCTTCGCTTTCCCTTCCCACCAATGCAGCGTTCCAAGACTTTTTCCAAACAGAAGAAGGCTCTTCCTGCTCCCGCTCCTCTTATTCCTCACCAGACTGTCACAACACCAGTCCTGGCACACAGTGTGATCGGCTTACATGGGATTAACTTGTGGGAAAGGAGGTCGTTGTAGTGCCTTGATTGTCGTCTTGCGGGCTATGGTCGAAGCTCATGACTATCACTGGCTTAATGTAGAATGGTTTGACGCGTTGACAAAGTGGATAGACCAATGGTTCAGTAAGAGCGATTATGTCAACCTTTTTATTTTTGTGGTGTGCCTAAGAAAGTGGCAAGCGATGGTGCCGATCTCTCCAATGCTAACATGGTGCTGGAATCAAAGGTCATTTGTTTATGGAATATTCCAACCTGACACTTCTACTGCTTTACAAGTAGAATGGTAAAGAATGGTAAGAATCCTCGCTACTGCCAACATCTACGTTTGCCGCTTGAATAAGCTTGTGACTGAGAATCACGTGACATGATTCTGGAAAGGATTACCAAACTATCCCAAGCCATTTGCTTGCCATGCCTAGGTGGTAGGCGTGTCAGTTGGGTGCAGTCGCTCACGCCAACCTCCACTCAATACACGCAAATACACACAGACGGGGAGTTGTAGTGACTGTTGTAAGTTAAGGTCTTGTTATCCCATTGGCTGGTGCAGATGTCAAAGATTGAAATAAAAGCGTCGTAGGTGGTGCAGGAGATGATTTGGGTGTTGAGGATGATATCTCACTTGTGGCTTCTATCTCTCACGGCCTTCGTTTTTCCCGAGGGAACTGGAGGACAAGGTGGTAAGCTACGTCCCACTTCTTTACTCTAAACAACCTATGCCACCCTGTGCCGGCGCATCGCTTTCTATCGCCGTTCTGTTCTTGCACTCATAATTACGGTGTGGGCATCTACACACCACACTACTTGCCACTAGTGTTGTTTATGAGCACTAAGGACATTTGAAACAAAGTTAGGAGAACGGTTTGTATCACCAAAGAGCGACCATACTAAACTGGCTTACCTGAGCGGAATCGTCAATTTCTTGTTCGATTCCTTTGGCACTTTCTCCAGAGTCGAAAGCCTCCTTTGAAAGGATCATCAAGGAGTGGTAGAACTAAGCACACTTCCACACACGCAAGCACACACGTGAGTACGCGTGTTTGCGGCCATAAGTCGGAGCAGTCCCGCACTTATTGGGCGAGAACTGCCAAACTGCAATTCACACCCACACATTCCCAAATCCAAATCACGTGACTGTACCCATGTGGTGAAGTAAGCAGCAGACAACGCACTAACATCGTTGTGATGTCTTTACCAATGTCATCCGCAGTTCGTCTTGAATTGTGTGCATTTTGAGCGAAGTTCACCAAAACTACGTCGCTCGTGTCTCTGTGTCAGCTGCGACAAACGTAGTTGGTAACAATTTGATAGTTGACGTGGTGAGGTTATTGCTAGACTTGATTCTTTTGGGGTACTGACTGCATAATGCTTGTCCTTCAGACAGAGGCTGGTTCCATGTCGACATTCGCTGGCGTCACGTGGGCTCTTACGGACTTCGGCTGAGCTGGAATGCTCGTCAGTTGGCCTACCGCAGGGTGGATACTGTTCGATTGACTGCCGAAGAACTCTTTTCTCCCGGCGTTGTGCAGGAAAAAAACGCCAGCGTGAACGATGGAATTATTACAATTCTTGGACTGAAGCCTTACACATATTATCAAATGCTTGTGGACGGCTATCGAGATAATTATACAGTTTTTGGTGCAACAAGTCTAATCAGAACATTGCCGACTGGTAAGTCCCAATCCACTTATCTGCGATTGCATCGATAAGAAGGCTCCACCCACCCTAATGTCACCAAATACTAGCCCCAGACTATTTGTCCCTTTAATCCCACTTTACCACATTGTGGGCAAACAACGATGAAAGAAGAACCTCACAACCAACATTTTGCCATTCACAGCTCCTTCATATGTGGATCCACCCACTGGAAAGGCGATATCGACAAAGGAATTAGAAGTTAAGTGGTCAGCGCCGTCCCAGCCCAACGGAATCCTCAAGCCATACATTGTGACTTGTTTCAATACTTTTGATTACAGTGAATCTCACAGCGTCACAACTAAGGACAACACGACGACATCGGTTACCTTTAAACAGCTGCGTCCAGGTATGGAATATCAGTGCAGTGTGGTTGCCAGTACGTATCCAGCAAACAATCAGCGTGCGGCAGATTGCGAGAGAAGGTCAGCGTTATCAGATCGCATCCGGACCATGGCTTTGGGTGAGTTAGATTGTGGCACTTTCTCCTTCACGCTTCGCTAAGGGATGTATCTGACAAACCTTCAACATATCCTACGACAAAATTGGCTGACTTAGCAAAGCAAACTGTAAAAAAAAGAGTTACAAGTTTGCCTTTCCTAGGGCACAAACGTGCTGATTCGCCCGCCCAGAGGTCAACAACAATGGACGCAATAAAATTCCTACTCCATGTTACTGCCATCGCAATCGCATAAGTAAGAAGGTTCGAGTGACTCTGCATAGCTGAAGTAGTCTCCAAGTTCCAATGTTAAGGCTGCAGTGTTTAACACAAAATGTATCGCTGCTATCAAATTGCCTCGTTCCCACTGTAAATTTTGCATCACTCGCCCTCAGCTCCCTCTCGCGTTCCGCGTCCCAAAGGAGAGGCCATCTCGTCGGCGGAAATTCACCTGACTTGGTCTAAGCCCAGGCACTCCAATGGCATTCTCCAGCCCTACCTAGTTACCTGTTTCGACCTTACACACGGCAGCGCCCCAACAAACCTCACTACAGAGGACAGCGAGACAACCTCCGTTACAGTTAGAGGCCTGACTCCGAAAACAGAATATCAGTGCCTCGTGGTAGCCAGTACGATTCCGGCAGTTGGACAGGATCCATCTCAGTGTGAAAGTCGTTCGGAGCTATCGGCTCCCATTTGGACAAAATCGTCAAGTACGTTATAGTGATGGTAGTCTTCTCCCCCTCTCACGCAGCCACAGTGTGAGAATTGCCTATGATGACCAGCAATGAAATTGGCCATGCAGGAACTCCATCACCTCAACTGAGTAGGCAGAAAGTGCTAAAGACATAAGCAATTATATGAGAACTAGTGGGAGGCATTGTCAAGTTGGGATCTCGCGATGCTAGCAAACTAACCCGATAGGTCCTTCCACTATGAAGGTACTTGTGCCAAAGTTCAGGTTCAGTGCTACTTCCACTACGGCTGTAGTGATCCACTCCACGGTTAATTATGTGGTTTAGAATGAATCAGTTGCAAAGTAACTGTTTCGCCAGTTCATCTTACTTACTCGAGGAAACAATGGCAACAGATGCGAAGGTGGAACAGGCAGTTAGGTTAAAAAGCAACAGTTTGATGCGAAGGCAATGCCGGACAGCTGTCCTACTTTTCCTACCTTCCAAAACTTTGCTTGCCTCTCACTTGCACTGTCGATTTGCAGATAAATTGAGCAAGAGGTAATAGAACTACTACATATCGGCACTTGTAGAATGGTGCAGACAATTGATTACACATTGAAGGCAAACAGAGTGGAGTGCCTTTCCTTCCGTCTACCACGGTGTATTAATCTTACCTAACGGAGGAGACGATGGTGGTGAGAATAGACGAGGACACACAGGACTTGGTTGGTGTGTAACATATTTCCTAGACTGACATGACGCGCCTCCTGTTTGCCTACATCTTGGTGAACACAAAAATGGCTTTTGTTGATTTTGGGACTCCACGACTCATGCGTGATTACCGTGCAGGACCCTGGATGTGAAGTTAGCATTGTGGGCGTGGACAGCGGAAAACGGGTGCTTGGGTTGGACTGCTGCCCGTTGAAAATAGCACGTCCTTTTGATGAGGCAAATTGCTTGCATGCTATTCTCGACATCATTTTCTTTTACACAGAGAAAGGGAAGAGCAATACGACGACTAGCGCGTCCGCCTTAACCTCTATCACCTCCTCACTTCTATTGACTTCCGTGACAATCCTCCTGGGTTAAAATTTTGCGGACGTCAGTAACCTCTGCTCTATGTGGACAGTAAGTCATTTCACCTTAATGATGGAGCATGACCTATTCCTTTTCTCACCGAAACATCTTTCCCACTGCAGGCCTCTACGGACCATGGGTTGCATCATTCGCCATTCTTTCGTTTCTACCCAAGTACACCCATGACATCTGATCCCGTTCAGCTCTTTAGTAAAACTTACGTACAGTTTTCTACAATAACAATTAATGAAGGTGCTTTTTGAATCCGGGATTGCTTGCCGCTTGCATTTGTCGTCTCACCTATACCCCAAAGTCTTGCCCCAGCAAAGTATAAGTGTCTGACCACTGGATAAGAGAATACAGAAAAGTCAATGGTTGCAGCAGAGCTGGAAGTGCTAAATGAGCGACTGGGTTCCCCGTCCAAATTGTCGTGATTCTGCTCATCATCCACTCGTCGCAGAGCAGCTCGCACAAACTTATGCTCTTTGGTTAGTAGACATAAGTCGTTACCTCAAGCGCCCCTAATTTTACATCCAGTAGCATACAAACTGAAAAACTGAACTTGATGCTGTCATGTGACAGGAGGATCAGAGAGCGAGGAGTAGGCAACGCTTTTACGAGTAGATATTTCAGGAACATTTTCTAAAGTGTGAAGGGGTTGAGGGTAAGGAAAACGTCCAATCCTAGCTCCTCGAAAGGGATTTTCACAGGCCCCTTGCTGACACGGCACATCCTCGAAGACATGATTTCTCATTACGAACATTTCAGTTTAGCGATGCTTAACATCGCGTAGATTGAGTTGATGCCAAAGTTGTTAAGAGATTATGAAGAAATTGTAAGTTTGCATGACATGGTGTACCATGCTGCGGATATGAATAAACGTTATTGCATAATAACAAGTATGACCACAATCGTACACTGCAAAGCCGACCATGGAATCGATATCTCAAAGTGACTGAAGACCGCACTTCGTCATTTCTGGCTACGGTTTTACCATCACAAACACTGTATATGAGCGCCGAAATCAATGGGACTAATCTTCTCACTACGAATTGCGAGGCTTAAACAGATGAGGCAGCTGTGATCTCATCTTTACCATCCTTATCCCACACTCACTCACTCAAATACTAGATGTCGACGAAAGTCGGGAGGTGTAGTAAGGACAGTGGCGAGGAAGACGCTCAGAAGAAGAGAGGAGCAACGTAATACCTTTACCAGCAGCAATATGAAATAGAGAATGGTGCCTATGGAATAGGACACTTGAAACATTTCTTTGAAAAGGCATCACATTTATCACTTCAACTGCATTAGCAAAGCAGTAAAAGATAAATGCAGCTAACTGATTTTTTTATTAAAACCTCAGTTTACTTATTGCAGCGGCCTGAAAGGCTGTGAATTTGGGGTCTAATTTCCTACATTATTTAGAGAACGAAAAATATGTAGAAACCAGAATCAACAATGTAATACTTTGTTTATGTGACTACCTGATATTTGGCGGTCACTTTAGAATTTGTCCGACCCTTTGCAGTTGGGCCGGCCTTCGGGCTATGCCGAGGCCGATCTGCTCTGTCGTTTTCGGACTGCATGCATCCAGTTGCATTTAATGACTACTTATACCGCCTAGGAAGTCTCGGGATGCATTCACTTTGGATGATATCCCTACATAAATTTGATGTTGTGTGAACTGAGTGCGAGCCACAAGTCAACACAGTACGTCTCCTGCAATTTGATGTTACAAACAGAGCATCAACTGTGTAATAAAGTCGTGAAAACGTCTCATATTTTACCTGTAGGGCAGTAGCCAGATTAGAGCAGTATCCAGATTAAGCATTCTTTGAGGGTCATTCTAATGCACTCATATAGTTTTCACCAACTTACAGGCTTGGGAGTACCATATTGTCAATACCTCCGTGGTTCGAGCACCCATAAAGCATCATTTTGCCTTATAGGGCGTAACGTGTAGTAGCAATAATAATAATAATATTGCTTAAAAAC